CCTTCTAGAAACCCAGTGTAGGGCGGGATGTTAACATCAGTATCAACAGGAGGGGCTCCCTGTGGGTTTCTACATATCTGGGGCGTATCTGGGCCATGTAAGATCAGAAGTCCACCTGGCAGCACACTAGTGAGCCCAAAGGCAACCGATAGCGGAAGTGTGCTTGAAATTGAGAGGTCCCTTATGGGGGGTGGTCCAAGCGGGGGGCGAGCACGTCACCTAGTAATAGTAAATGCCAGTACTCCCGAATCCTTCCTAGTACTCCCCGAGGTTCCCTAAGGCTCTCCAGCACCGATCCCCTGGGATCAACACCCCATGAAGACATGGTCATGTAAAGATTCCCGACACGAGCAAGCATGTGTTAAGGCCTTTCTATTAGCTCATATGAAGCCAAGAAGCAAAAACATATTGAGGACCCAAGGCATGTAATCATTGAGTACTGGGCCCGTAGGGTAAACTACCAAGTGTTCAAATTATTCAGATCATGGTGGGGGCGGTTGCTCTTTGGGGTTCCTGCTTTCATATATGCTAGCAATTGGGGTCTAGAAAGGGGATCGCTATGTGGAAATTTCCATATGAAGCACGGAAGACTTCCCCTATCCATTGGAAGATTCTTCCTTGCATTTGCCACCAAAAAAAGGCTGTTGGAAAACCCCATGCAAGCATTTCTGACAATGGTAAGGCCTTCCTAAATGAAAGGCCTGCAGTGGGATCGTCCTCATGACAGAAATTCCTGTAAAGCAATAGAGAGGATCTCTTACGGAGCCCCAAACTAAAGAGACTTTCCTCGCTGCATGTGCGACATGCAGCCATTTCCCTTGACTATGCGTTGCGAAGACCGTTCTTCTGCAATAAGCCCTGCAAAAACCTCGCACATCCCTGCAAGACGTCTAAGGCCGCACCTACAGGCATACTAATCCACCAGCCCATAGCCTAATTACTTACGTGTTGATGGAAGGACCGCATGTCCGTTGGCCCGTGCGCGCACACAAAGTGCGACAATGGATTCCGTGCCAGTTAAGCTAACGCGCAGGCATTGAAAAGCATACATCGAACCGCGCAAAATGAAAATGGCCACTCCCTGAGAAACCCAGAGGGATGCGTTTCCCAAACTAACATGGAAGTCCATAAAGCCTCATTTTATCGGACAGAAGTGTTGAAAGGGCTCAGGTTTCCATCTGAATTTGGGGGAAGGGACGATGCCTCATCTTCAGAGCCCTCGTGGCCCTCCTCGTGCTCCTGGAGTGCCCAGAAGCCACTGCGCGGCGCCATGCTTCAAAAGCAACCGCCCTATTTCGGCTTAGTTCGGTGTGAACCCCATGAAACCTGGCGTCTAAAGCACCACAAAGCCCTGGATAAGGCTGCTTCATATAAGCAATAGCAGCGGTCTTCAGGCTCGGATAGAGCCATTCAGCGTTTTTGACTTGTGACGGAAGGCAAGGAGCTGTGTTGAATCTCTCACCGGCATTAGGGGCACAAAGATGGGCACTTCGTCTTGTGATGTTGATGTATGAGGGAGCGCTGAATCTGGTATCGAAGATGGGCTCTCTAATCTCATAAGCTACCCTAACACCCTAGTCATGAGCGATCAGCTGCCTCACATGTCACTGCAAGCCTTGCGACAGGCCTGCACAGGCTTGATGCGAGCGGCGGGCAGCAGACAGTGTTATGAAGGCGCGTTTCTTGGGCTTCATTGGCGGCCCTCCGCCTGAACTGTTTTCTTAGAATGTACAACCCAGAGGATCCAAGGCCAATACTCAGATACTTGAGCTTTGAGGAATAGTAATCATAGTACAGATTTGTGAAAATATCTCTCCATATGTATACATATATATATATACACATGTATGTGATTGCATATGGTTATTAGGTACATGGACCCTTAAGGCAAGTTCCGGACTTGAATCCCAAAGCTCATGGTGAGTACCAAGGCTCCTTCGGGCGCTTCATGCCGAACACGGAGCCCTCATCTTTACAGGTGGGTATGTAGTAGGGAATAAATAAGAGACAGACATACATATACACATGTGTGAATTTGTGAGGGTGTATAAATATAAATAACTAAATATAAATATATATATATACATGTACATGTATATGTATACACACACTGACGGTTGTTTCAGGACCACTGCTGCTGCTGGGGTTTAGAGTTGAGGGCTAGTAGGGAATAGCGGAATGTAATCCCTGTACAATCTCTAATACTCCCTTTTCCTCCGAATAAGTCATGTGGGGCCATATATTGGATGATGTAGGAGCCTGACCTACATATAGCCCCCTTTGAGGAGTTTAGACTATAGCTCATTTCGCAACGCGCAAGCGAGCAGTCTGCTCTAGCTAGGAAATCCTAAGGGCTGATGTCCCAGCAGTCCTGAGCTGAGCGTACATCATAGGGGTATGTGGGGACCCATTGGGGTAATAATGATGGAGAATCACATGGAAGATAAATGGAATATGAAATGGAAACTACTACATTATAGTAGGGTATATATAGTCCACCCCCTAGACATCAGCCCTTTTGCAAAGCACGCATCTCACAACAAAGAGGAGTCCTCGCATTGCGACCCCCTCTGTCCCGAAAAGGCTGTACTTGAAACGCGCACCGAGCACATGTTCGGCAATCTTCTTAGATTGGCGGGCGAAATGCAAAAGCTAGCTGGCGAGGTGTGGCTCTTTCCTTCGGACTTAGGGCAGGCTTTGTAGAATAGAATTGCGAGAGAAACCTCAAGCCCCTTGCAGCACAAGTCCCAGCAGTCCCAATCATGGCCACCCCAGCACGCCCCATGCAGGGCAGCGCCTACAGAAAGGAATGCTCCATCTCCTCAGAAAAAGAGCTCGGGAACATGGAGTACAACTTGGGTACTGTCCCCACTGTCCCCACTCATTCACAGCTGGACAATATTTTTAATACATATATATATATAAAGCCCCTCATATGACCCTTAAATATAATCTCCTAATGGATGGGGGCAGGACCCAAAGTACAACCCAGGGCAACGAAGCAAATGCACCCAGTTTGCTGTTGCAGCACTGGGATAGCACTTCTCTTGGCTGGATAACGGCAGCTCAGATGTTGTCCACGTCAACGCCGGCAGTCTGCCAACAACAGGCTGCGCAAGCATGATGATTCTTCAGGGACCAGTAGCTTCCATTTTATTCTCCAATATCCCTATGCAATCCCTATAAAACTCCTTATATAACCCTAAAGTAAATTCCACTTTCTTTTTCGATATCTTATCAAAATCGTTCTTCAGGGTTCAGGGGCTTAGGGATGCTCAGTGTGTCTTTGGGGTTCCTAGGTAGGCATGCAACAACAGAATAAGGAGACACAGGCTGTTTTTTGTTGACTAAGAATCACTGTCCAACTGTTTGCTAGAAATATTCTTGAGAAGGGAACAGCAGCCTGACAATTCCATCTTAGCTCAACAGTGAAAGCTCAGCCTGCTGCCCTACTGGCTACACATCAGCTGAACGCCTGGAGCTAACTGAACATCTCTGGGCTTCAAAGAAAAGATCAAATGCACATCCTTACAAAGGTAAAGCAACAAGGAACAGGACCTGTAGGGCACCACGAATGCTGTGAATTGCCCGCCGCCATTCTCCCAGAATTTGAGCCCGCTTTGGGCCAGGTCCCTCCAGTTGAAATCTGAAATCTGGACACTTTGCCGCTTTGTAGCGCAATGGAAGCTAGCCCATCATCTCTCGCACAATGCTCACGGAGGCCTTACATGCCATCTTACCAGTGTAACGCACAGGTGTCAGGCCACCTCATCGAACTCGACGCCGTCTTCGCTGTCATCGCCGTCACCAAGATCTGTCTCGTTGATCTTCACCTTTAAAGTACATTAGGGTTTGGGAAATTCATAATAACAAATAATGGAAAACAACATGGAAACTACTGTTTATGATTTTTAGGGTTTAGGGTTTAGGGCTTTGAGGAAATGTTTTTCTGTCTCGTTGATCTTCACCTAGGGGTTCTTGCAAGGGAACTCTGGATGACTGCAGCTGCGGTAGCGAGTAAAAGGCTTGCCGAGATCTGAGTATCGTAGAAAACCATAATTCCCTGAGAATGAGCTACTGTAGGGTCATCTGGGATGTTTTGTTTGTATCAACCATATCACTTGCAGAAGGTACAAGTCCAGGTCTAAGGTGCACTACTTCTGTTGAGTATTGGGTGCTGAATGACGGGCTGGACTTTGGAGACTGCATGGTTGGGCGGCAGAACGGGATGACTACAGTTATAGGGATCCCTTCAGCTATTCCCCGCTAGGCACCAGTAAGTTTAGGGTCTCGGTCTTGGGCCTTGACTTAACTTGGAAGATGCTGTATAGAGTTTTGCTTCATGTATCCACCATCTGTGAAAGGTTCTGACACAAGCTTGCCAGCGATCTGCTCTCCTACGTACATCCAGTTGCTCACATGGGATCACGTGCCTGTATCTGGCCATAAATGTCTGGCGCAGGGCAAGCAAGGCACAAGTTTGGGGCAATCAAAGAATCAAGCAGAATTCATTCCATCATAAAAGATCAGGCCAAGAAACATTCTCCGGGAGCTCGCCGTAGTTCTTTAAGCTACGGGCTTCCTGCTCAACGAGGAATGGGCGAGCGAAAGCGCCCCTATCTCTCTCTGTGTTATATTCGGTCGTTTTTTGGCTCACATCAAACAGCTCCAACAAATGAACTACACCCAAACATAAGGCACAAGAAGAGTACACGACGGCAGAACAGTCATGAATATCGAATAAAAAAGTCTGAGTAAGTGCGTGAGTGCAATGAGCTGTGAAAAAGGAACATGAACTCATCTCAAGCACCTATGGCATTAATGAAGAAACTCGGAACATTGAGTTTTCTATGCGTAGCTATTGACGGCGAAGCCGACAGTCGAAGTATTCTCACTTACGTGTGCAGGGTTTAGGGTTGAGGGTGTGGGGCTAGGTGCTAGTGAAAGGGAAGGGAATATGTGGGGGCATTTTCGGATCATTACGGAAATTGCATGCCAGCTTACACACACGTAGTGCTATGGGCATCCTCGGCTGTGTACTTGGTGATGATGTCGCCCTTCTCGTCCTTGTGGCACACATGTCGTGTGAGAGATGCACAAATCGAGATGGCAGTCTCTGATTTAGGGTCTCTAATTTAGGATAACCATACTTACAACTTACAACCAAATTCATCCCCCTAGCGCACTTGAAGCCCACGTACAGCTACTCTCTCACCTTCCCCAATATCAAGTGAGAGTACCACTTCTAGTAGTACTAGTAATGATAAACGGTGAGACTGATAATCTCGACAGTGCCATGATATCATGCTGGGAATACTGTCGATCAGCGGATGTGGAGCTTTTTGATTCTTATTCAGGAGGAGGGATTACTACAAATATCACCTGAAGCCTTATGCACAGGCCTTGTCCTTGGATAGCTTCTTCTCCCTACAGGAAATCCCCTAAACCCTATAAACCCTAAACCTTAAGCCGACAGCCTGAGCCTTCCCAGGCACCAAGTTCTGCATCTACGCCCAGTTTTACGCTGGAAAGTATGTCCCCGGAGTAGGGGTTATATAGGGGTGATATGAGGGTATGTAGGGTTTAGGGTTTCCCAAAAGTAGGGGTAGGAGGACTTCTTGACAATAGATTCAAGGTGTAATGCTTAGTGTTTAGGGTTCAGGGTTTAGGGTTCAGGGTTTAGGGGTTTGGGGTTCAGGGTTCGGGGTTGAGGGTTCAGGCGTGCCTTCAGGGGCCTACTAGCGTTTTATTGGGAATTCTGTAGGGGCCATACTCAGACACGACAATGTCGACCCACACATGGCAAAGCAAAAGCCTGCATTTATGATGGTGTTTGTCTGCCTGAGGACCAATGGTTTTGCAAGAGTGGGTTGAGGGTTCTGGTGGCAGGCTTGACAATCCAGACTTGAATCCAAGAAGTAGAATGATGGCTTTCTTGGCCCGTTTTTGGGTTTAGGGCCATTATGTTGCCTACTTATGGGGTCAAGGGCTTGGGGGCTGGCGGCTTTGAGAATGGTAGACTCGCGCTGTGTTTGTCTTTCAGGGGTTTGTCGGGCCCTGCTGCCACATATATCTGCACTAGAGACATCCTGCCTGGTGCAGGGCTCACATTGTACAATCTGGGCGAGGAGCCTGATTGAAAGAACACCCACAGCTGAATATGAAGATGTCTGAGAATCATTTCGCTTTGCGCATTGAAGCCAAAAACCCTGTATTCACAAGTTTGCACCATCCTCTGCAGGGGCACCTCATGACCCCTTGATCCCTGTAGAATGCTCAACTATCCCTGGAGGGCCTGAAATCCGGGAATTCCTCACATGCTTCGGAGGCATTCTGACTGACGCAGCACCACTTAGATACTTCAACCCCTGTACCGCGCTAGGATTGAGGGTGGGTCCTGAAGAGTCCGGAATGTCGTGGCCTGTGATGGTTTTCTCAGTATACTCATGCTCCCCAGGGCTCCAATTAGCCCACACTAGACATTTTCTATAGACTGTAGGGCCCAATTTAAAGATTATCTATAGACTTATTCTAGGGGTCCAAGTACCCAATAAGCATAGACTTACCCCAAAGCTATACTACAATCACTATATTGCCCAAATCCCAAGTACCCATTTATTAGGCACTTGGACCCTTTGAGTTAGTGTCCAGGGACTGTAAGGCCCTGAAACTTCACAACCTCGCCTGGAAGTCTCGCAAAGAGACGAGGACGATGTCACCCTGGTTGCACCAAACCTTCTTTCGCATCTTGCCTCAGACATGATGTCTTTTGTGAAGTGGCTAATGAGGTCGCGCGTCTCAAACTAACCCTTGCAGAATTTCGCTGAGCGGGGTCCACAAGAACAACGGTCCACAAGAACTAAGAGATGTCGGAGCTCATGTAACATGACTTGGCCTGGGATAAAGCTCAGTCCTGCAATTCCGACTTCAGGCCCCTGTGCTCGCAACCCGAATCCGGAATCGCGCGCCGCAAAATTTCCATGTACAATGTGCTTTGGTAAGTGCTTTGGCTCAGTGCTTAGGCAATGCCATATAAAACAAGCCAAGCAGCCGCGAATGTGGCACAACCTCAGAGAGCGCAAGCGGCTGGGGCTGAGGGGCTTCTTATAGCTGAGCCCAGCACCCTATGAGTCCAAAGTTTTAACATACCAAGTTATATATGATCATTATATAGTGGAACCCTAAGGGCAGGCTGCGCCTCTTTAGGACGTCTAGAAATTTTACGTCTTCAGCTGCGCAGCTATGAAGACGACCCCATAAGAGTTATAGGCTAGTCCGCTAGTCATAAGATCCTGACTTGGGGGTTTCAGCATCCAAGATAGGATGGCGCGTGCCTAAACCCCGATCCTTCGAGTGACTGCTTGGAATCCACAAGTATCAGATCCTTGTCTCTAGAGAAACCCAAACCCAAATTCTACACCCCCACACGCAGGGACCCGTAAAACCCTACTCTGAACCTTAGTATTACTACACCCCGAATAACCCCTACAAAAAGGCTACAAGCAACATCAACAAATCGTGGATCCTACACCCCCCAAATGCCCAACCCTCCATATGCGCATAGTCTGAACTCCTAGTATCCCCCTGAATAACCCCTATAATAGTCCCCTGTGCAAATCCCTATGCAGCCCTCTGCAAGGAGTTTGGATCCTAAACCCTAAAAACCCTATACACCCTAAAGCCTATATCTATATAATCCCCGTATAACCCCCTTGAAGGAGTTTAGACTATAGCTCATATATGCATGCCTGGAGGCCGCTTCACTCCGTCCACGCAGAGAACGTCGCAGCGGCCGTTGCCAAGCATGCGGGTGATCTGGCCGTACTCCTAAGGACATGTAAGGATTTTCCGCGGCAGATAAGGAGCTACCTTCGATGTCTTGCTATGTGCATAGATACATTTTCACACATATACATATGCGTACATGCGCGCGCTCTATCCATAGCGGGGAGTATGCAAGATAAGCCATGGATGGTGTAGGGCCTTGCCTGCCAGGTACACCCATTTCCGATAACGAGTATGAAGAGGTGAAGTCTACAAGAGTGCTCATGATGCGAACACAAAGGGTAATGCAAACAACTTCCACCTGGAGCTCCTTTTCGCACAAAGTCGGACCCGCACCCTTCCCCCCACTCGAACCACTCCGCCGTAACACAGCTCAAGCCAGGGTTCCAGTCTCTGTTGGGCGGAAGGCCTTACCCTGACCTGACCTAAGATGAAAATCCATAAAGCCACCTTTTAACAGTGCAGCAGTCTGCAAAGGACTTTTTGCTAAGTTGGAGGAACAAGTCCTAAGTGCGAAGAACCTACGGATTCTGAAAGTTACAGTAGTTTATATTTGCCGAGGACAGCTTCCGCAGAGCTTAAATGATGAGCTTTGGCCGGGGTGTGCAGGGAGTGTAGGGATGCTGCGATTTCTTCACAGGGAGTTCGTTAAATATCCTCATCAAAACGCCGTGCCTTCAGTTACCGATCGCATTCAGGCACAACAACTGGTGCAAGCCTCAAAACCTTTCGAAAGATCCAAAAGCAAAGCCGCAGCCCTAAGCTTCTCGTGACTCAGCCATACGCAGCCCTTTCTGCTCTGACTGCAGCATCTTCTGTCCGCATCACCAACTCTTCCAAATAATACCGCAGCCCGTACCCCTGTTGCGTATCCAAGCTGAAAAAAACCGCCTCTTGGAATTTCATTCGCAAAGCATGAAAAAGTGTGGAAGGCACTGAGGCATGCTCCAAGGGATATCCCTCCAGCACTGACACCCCCAAACCAGGCAATTATACACAAATGGTGGCTCCTGTCCATCCTCCTTGAACTCCAGCTCCTTCTTGTTGTTCTCAGTGCTCGCCTGCGGTCGCATCTTAAGACGTTGCACCAGATTGATGGTTGCCCTCTTCCCCAAAGGGTCTATGTAGGTATATGGGATATACTTGGGCCTTAAAGTAGGTATATGGGAACCCCTTTGGGCCCTAAGTATATACCATATACCTACATGGACCCTTTGGGTTCCAAAACAACATAGAACACCATATAGCCTCTTCGAAAGGGACAGCAATCTTTATGGGGCCCTTTCTTTGGTGTTCCATGCTACTCGGGGGAACGGTAGATGCTCATAGATCCCGTAGCCGCTAAAGAAATTACTGTACCCTAATTACCCTGAACTCCAAACTTTTCATAATCTTCAGCTCAACCACATCAATATCACCCGGTCCAACCCAAACACCTAAAACGCTTCACCCCTGGAACCTCAAATGCAGAAACATCTGCACCTGGCCAATTTTCATAAATTCCCAAACCTGAACACCAGCCTATTCGGGACTGCCTTCGTTAAAAGAGGTCGGGCGATGTTCACAGGTCTGACCCCCCCCCCCNNCCTCCCCCGAGAAAAAAAAATGGTACAACCTGGTAAGGTGCTGAAGGGGAAGTCGAACGGGACGGAGGATCCCTAAGATGATCTCTAGGTTTATGAATACACAGCTACGCTTATCAATCAGTAGACCAAGTTAGGAGTTTACCATATGCGTGCTTATAGACACTTCTTAGATATCCTTGTTTATGAACACGTTCATTTGTTCATGGTCATACAACTTTTCGTTATACCTATCTCACCAGTCACTCCTTCTAGGTTCTAGACTCTACGGAAGAAGACGCGTATTGTACAGATGCATACATACATATATAGAGCCCTGTATTCACTATATTCCCCTCCCCCCCCCCCACCCGGCGCTCTCTCATGAGATGGGGGTTTCCCAGAATTAGGGNNATTATAGTGTATTGGGTCCATATTGGGGCCCCCCTATTCCGGGAAACTACCATATCTGTAATCTACTCCCCCTGGACCTTAAACCACAAGCCCTAAACCCAATGTTCCCTCACTAGGCATCCAACTCGAAAGTGTCCGCCTTGGCGCGCTTGGCCTTGTTTCCGCCAAGCTTGTTCTTGGGCATGGTGTCCGACCTCAGGCTTTGGGGTTTAGAGCTTACCCTAGGGATTCAAATAGACCAATGTAGCTAATGTTTATAGACTTTAGGGCCCAGTGTAGGTATTGTTTGGACACTTGGACCTGTGGGGTTACTTCTTGGGGATTGCAAGAAGACTTTGTGGGGATTTATACGTAGTCCATTTAGGAATTTGCTGCGCAGGGATTCCCATCTTATTTTATAGCCGTTTAACTACTTAGGGATGAATGTTCATCATTCGTAGGGTCTGTAGGGTTTCAGCTTGGGCGGCGGAGGTTGAGGGTCTAAGTCTGAGTTGAAGGGTGAACAGCTTGCGGTTCAGGGAAGGCAGTGGTCGGCATTAAAATGTTGGTCATAGAAAGCAACGCAACAACGGCGCACTGTTGAATTATCGACAACCCCGTGTCGGCCCATGCATCCATCCACTAGCTACATATGCTTGTCAAGAGAAATGCACATACAATTTGGGTCCAAATAGGCTTCTATGTGGGACCTTTGCGGGCCCTTCATATTTAGGCACCTGGGCCCCTCAGCCCAGTTCTATACCAAGGAGCTGTCCATGCTGTGCACTGGGCGGTTCACGGCTTAGCCTGTGAGTTTCTCCTCCCTGAAATAGTTTGGTATCAAATTTACGAGTTAAGTTTTATGGTTTGTAGATATGCTCGCAAAACCGGTGGTGATATTCATCTGCAAAGGCCTTGATGTTGTTAGCAGGTCCACATGCCAAAATTCCAGGCCTGTGGAGTATATGGCCTAATTACCGTGGAGCTTCGGAGATGAAGCCATGAATCAGAATGCTATCCCAAGTGTTCGCAGCTATCCTCAAGGCCTATATAACCACCCGAATGATGCAAACATGACATGGCTACCAACGCTTCAGCGTCAAGTTCTACCTGCAACAACGACGAGAAAAAACAAACAAGCAGCAGAAGCCCAATCGCCTGTCATTGGACCATGTTGCCTCACAGCCCCTGATCAACCACCCCTGCAAACCTCACTAGTGAGTGTTCCTGAGGAATGGCCTCAAGACTATACAAGGTGTGTACAAGGAACACTGCTGAATACGTATGGCCAGGGCCAACCTGTGTTTATTGCGCAGGAGGCATGCTACAGATGTTCCTATCGTGATCCTTCTCCCCTGAGCTGCGAACTGATGTGCGAAGCGAAGCTCGAACGACCCAAATGCGCTGCACTGCTATGCTCATGAGCCCAGGTCAACCAGGCACACACAAATGCACAATCATCTCAAAATAGAAAGCCAGATATCCTCTTAGATAGCTTGGCTAATGTTGGGCGTGCAAGAACTTCAATTCAACATGGTGTTGCATCACATTTCCGCCACAAGTGATGAGAGAACAAGGCCTAGAAGGGGCTAGTCTTTTGCATTCTTCTGGCTTTGCATGGCCCATGAGAGTGTTCACGATGCCTTGAAATGGACAGCTGAGGCCTGACACGCTGTGATCTTTGCATCCCAAATTGTACATGTGAAAAGCTAAACTAAAAATTGCGGGCATGAATTCTTAGATCCAGACAGAATTTTCATCATGTTACCGTCAGAAAACATGTAGGAATCACTGAAGATGGCAGCCCCTGTCAAAAAAAGTTCCTAAGAAGGTATACCTCGAATGAGAAGATGTCTGGTATGTAGCTTACAGATTCCAAGAGGGTGGTGGTAGGGGTCACAAAAAAACACTACTCAATATAACCCCAATATAACCTCAA